ACTAACTCACAGGTACCACTTTCCACCAGGATTTACAATAGATCACATACATCATACATTCAAGGATTAAGGATTATACTTTGATTCAAATTGCTCTATCAGTTTTTACAATGTGTAGTTAATGAAAATTAAATGTTGAATAGGTAAAAAAAAATGCACTACATCATTTACAGGAATCACTTAACTGTTTCTCTTTACATACACATTGTAGTTTATCAGGAATATAATAAGTTTTGTCTAAACTTTTGAATAATACCACCTTCTTTTTGTTTAAGCAGCCCTGTTGATGCAGTGGTTAAGCACTCCGCTGCTAACTGAAAGGTTGGCAGTTCAAATCCTCCAGCAGCTCTGCAGGAAAAAGATGTGGCAGTCTCCTTCCACAATGATCACAGCACTGGAGACCTGCTCTGTCCCATAATAGATAGGGTCGCTGAGTTGGAATCAACTAGACAGCAGTGTGTTTGGTTTTGGTTTTGGTATATTTGTTTAACAAACTCTCTCATTTGACCCTTACAACAACCTAATAAGCAGAGCAGCTATTAATTCTCCCATTTAGTATATGAGAAAAATGAGTCTCAGAAGTTAAGTAGCTTGATCAAAGTCATTAAGATAAGTCTTAGAACATAGATCTTCTACCTCCTTAGCCAGTGTTCTATCACCAAGCTATATTACATTTACCATTTACTGAAGAATAAAATATTTCATAATTTCCTTCCTTCTGCATCATTTCACTACATAAGAAAACATTAGCCATTCATCTAGTGAGGAGAAAAATATGAAAGTTGCCTTAATTAAGAACTATGCTCATCAATAATTCTGTATGAAATCCTACCAAATATTCCATTATTTTCTTAATCCTAATAAAATAAAAGTACCCTCTTATTTAAGTCTCTACTAACAATATCCAAAGTAGTGTTAAGAGATTGGACTTCCAGTAAGATGGAGGAATAGGCAGACAAGCAACATAGACCCTCTTCAACAAAGAAAAGAAAAACCAATTGACAGAGATACAGAAGATAATCCTGGAGCCCTGAGCTTTGAAAGGAACTATACAGAAATGGATTAGGCACCAACTAGTGGAAAAACCTGAACGAAAATATTGAGTACAAAGATGGTCAGAGCTGTGGACTGTCAGCTACTTTGACAGGACCAATAGCCTGAATATTTCCAAGTGGTGTTGGGACCTGAGAACAACTGCACTGGTAGCCCATGACTAGGAAGGTGAACAGCAAGGAGGGAGACAGCCTGAGCTTCTGACTTTCTGCTGTCCAGAGGGCACGTCCATTTTGATTGCTTACACATGGCAGCCATTTTGGATATTTAAAGTGACTGAGGACAAAGCCGTTTTTAATCTTTACAAGTGGTGGCCATTTGGATATTTAAAGTGACCAAGGCCACAGACATTTTGAATCTTTACAAGTGGCAACCATTTTGGATTTTAAAGTGATAGCATTCTCATTCGGATTCCAGGAACCTAAGAATAGGTTCTGTTTGCCAAGGTCGGCAGGGACATACAAGAGGCTGACAATGGGAAAGGAGACTGGTGGTGAGTGTATAAGTGCTGTCAACTAGTGAATAAAGGAGAACAGCACAGTACCCTGCTTATGTAGATAACATACAAAGAAAACAAAAATCGTGGGCAAGTCACTCCAACATACAATCACCAATTAAATATAAACACAAAAATGTCACAATGCCTCAGAGACAACAGAGCATCACAGTCCACAAAAAGAATCAAAATAAAGCAGGAGAAACGGGACCAGGATACAGACCCACAACATATCCCTGAGGAAGATGCAGCATTGGAATTCCCTGATAAAGAATTCCAGAGAATTATATTTAGGTCTCTTCAACGAATTGAGAGACAGATCAAGGAAAAAATAGAGAAAACCCTAGAAGAATTTTGGAAGAAAATACAAGAAAAAATTGACAAAATAAATGAAAAATTAGAAATGATTCTAAATCTACAGATAGAAATACAGAAGATTAATACTAAATTGTCAGAAAGAGCTAACACATTGAAAGGGCAAAGGAGCAGAACTGATGCAATGGAAGACAGAATTAATGAGACTGAAAACATATACCTGAATACTTCTTTGGAAAGGGATCAATCAGAAAAAAGATCAAAGCAAAATGAAGAAAGCCTAAGTTTCACATGAGATACCATCAAAAGGAAAAACCTATGTGTCACTGGAACTCCAGAACAGGAAAAGAAAAAGAAAACCACTGAGAAAATTGTCCAAGATTTGTTGGAAGAGAACTTCCCTGATATGACGAAAGAGGAGAATATATCCATTCAGGAAGTCCAACAAACCCCAAACAGGATAGACCCCAAAAGAAAATCACCCAGACATATCATCATCAAACTCATCAAAACCAAAGACAAAGAAAGAATCATGAGAGCAGCACGGGAAATACAAAAAGTTACCTACAAGGGGCAACCAATAAGACTAAGCTCAGATTTCTTGGCAGAAACCAGGCAGGCGAGAAGACAATGGGATGGTATATATAAAACCCTGAAAGATAAAAATTTCCAATCAAGAGTTGTGTACCCAGCAAAACTGTCCCTCAAATATGATGGTGATATCAAGACACTTCCAGATAAGCAGAAATTAAGGGAATTTGTTAAAACCAGACCAACCTTACAAGAGATGCTAAAGGGAGTCCTTTGGACAGAGAAGCAACAACAGCCAACAACAACTGACCATTAACACACATGATGATATAACCCAGAAACCAACCTAACTATGGAAGTATTCAAAGTAAATAAGTCTACAAGATTGTAAACACGGAACCAGAGACATCAATTGACAAATGAGGACAACTACAAACCAAAAAGAGGGAAAAAAAACTGTGTCATTACAGAACTTCTAGGTGGTAGGGATGTCAAGACAACTACAAGATAGAATGGACTGCTCTAAACATGGGAAGAAAACTATAAATCACAGGGTAACCTCAAAGAAAAATGATAAACCTTCACATTAAAATAAAAAAGAGGACCAGCACAAATACTTAGCAAATACTAAAACAATAGCAACAAAGGAAATGATAACATGATACATAAACAAAACAAGCTCAGCATAGAAAATTATATGGAAGAAATTAACACCACGATAAAGCACATAAGAAAAATGAAAGCAACAAATTCATATTTGCCAATAATTACATATCTGGCAAGGGACTTATCAAGATATATAGAAAACTTCAATGCCTCAACACAAAAGGAATTAACAATCCAATTGAAAACTGGGGCAGAACACAATACAGGTCGTCCCCAGATTACAAATCCTACATCCATTCCTAAATCTGCCTCTAAATTCAATTTGTACCTAAGTCAGAACAGCTAGGTACTGTTCGTATCTAACGTCAGTCAAATGTTTTGTCTTAGTATATAGTACCTAGCATACCTTTCATAAAAACACTAAAGAAACACTTCCAGATACACTAAAACATCTTTAACATAATAATACAGTAATAATGTTATGATGCACATTGCAAAGTACTGCGTGTTATTATGAACCATTGTACATACCTGGAATTTTTAATATAATACGCTTTATGGGATTGGTTCACAACTACAGGTTGTAAATTGGATGTAACCCTGGGAATGCCTTTATCACTCTTGCTCTGCTCCCAGGGAATTAGACTGCTAGATTTCAGTCCTCTTCCAACCCCTCAAAACAATATAGCAATAATAATCCAATATTTTGACTCCTACTCTTTGAATCTATTAACTGCACTATGTACTCTATTATGAAATAAAGCTATTAAGCCAGTTTTATAGAAGCAAATTATGATACAGTGAATTCATGTTGGGTGAAATAGTAGGAAGTGGCCAGGGAGAGTGGCAAGGGACCTAACACTGAGAAATTATTATGTATTCAGCAGTCCGTCAAACAGTAATTTATTTTCTCTCTTTTAATCCTCACAGCTACCATTCTAATCAATATTAGCATCATTTTATAGATTAGGAAACAATCTCAAACTCTTGATCTCTCCCCCTTGCTCAATGTGCTCTAATCCAGCTAGCCTACAGGAAAGTTCTTGCTCAATTCAAAGCCATTCTTCTTCTCGTTCTCTGTCCAGCTCTCCTGGCTCTTTAGAAGGCTGTCTCTGCCTCCTTTAGGTCTCACCTCAAAGAGCACCTCCTCAGACCATCCTAAGTAGCACAAACCAATTACTTTGTCATTCCCAACAGAATATAAAATGTTCTGCATTCTTTTTCTTTTGTGTTTAAGAGCAGGGATATTTTGACTTATTATAGCTGTATCCCAGGTGCAGCATACAGGAAGTGCTCAGATGCTGGCTGAATGAAAAAATGAACATATCTGTTTGTCTACAGTCATCTTAGCAAGTAAATGGCAGAGCCTGGAATCCAATCCAGGTAAATCTGTCTCTAAGGTCCTGCAGTGCCCTACCACTAGCTTTTTTCACAGATGGGAGCGGAGGTGCTTTGGGTAGGGTAATCAATTTGAAGATGCGCCTTAATGTTTTCTATATTTTCTCACTTCAAAGAAATTACAGAACTTCTTATGTGTACTTAATACTACAAAATAGTTAACTCAAATCCCAATACATTTTACATTGTCTTTTAGAAGCACAACTCAATTTGAACGCTGTATTCATTCATGATGACTCTTACCAAACAAAATACTTTAATACTGTTGAATAATCTGCATCTGCAAATAGCTACTTACAGCTGAAGGAAAAGTTAAGTCACATACAGATACATTTTACTAAGAAAACTACAATATTTTGTTCTTTTACAAGCTGTTTTGAGCTTCACAATACATCATACAGAACATTTTCAAAACCAGCCATGGGATATCATTCTGATAACAGTACTGCTCTTTCTTAAAGAAAAATTACACAAATGCACTCAATCCTGAGTCTCACTGTGAAACCAAGTCAAAGTTACCTCATGCAAAATACTAACTGCAGTTAAAGCTACACCACTAACAACATTCCCTTTGTTACCTATCCAGGGGGTTAATACTTACTGCTGAGTTCTCCATCCTCGGATACTCCTGTCCCTCTCATTCCGAGGTATGTGAGTCCCAATATTAGGAAAAATAAGCAGGCAGCAGTTAAAAGAAACATCGACAAGTAGTGGGCACTGAAGCCTCCTGTTGGGGAAACCTCCTCGCGCTTAAACTGCTGGAGAAGTTCCTCCTCAGGTTCGGAAAGCTTCGGTTTGCTGTATGTGTTTTTCAGGTAGGTATGATTGGAGACCGTATGATTGGAGTGATTTATCCTGAGTGAACTGGAAGCGGCCACCGCCGCAACGGGTGGAAGGCTGTTGGAATAGATTCTAGGGGAGTCCACACTGAAGGCCCCACCGCAGATATGATTATTGGTTTTACGAAGGGAGCCAGCTGAATCCAAGGTTGAGTCCATATCAGCACGTGGCGGGGGCAAGAGAGGGGCCAGTTTCTTAGCGTTAACACGGTATCGAGGAATGGGGCTGGAGTCAAGTGGATCACACCCTCCTCCCTGCTCCACTGCCGCCGTTGCCACCACCGCCTCTTCGAGGTTTCGGCTCCTGTCTAGACTCCCGGCAGCCACCGCCCTGTCATTCATCGAGATTCCTCCCCCTCCCTGAACTGAGGTCTCCAGTCTGTTGCCGGCAGATTTAGCAGTGAGCGGAGAAAAAGGTTTACTATGGCTCCGTCTGGACCGATGCCGGGAAAGGGAGTCGTCCTTTAATACCTGTCTGGTGGAGGCCACGTCGTCGTCCTCTTCTTCCTCCGAATCCGAATAGTTTTCCCGGCAGCTGTAGGGGGTAAGCCGGCTGCCATTCACGGTCCGACTCGGCCAAAGTGGCTCCTCGGCCTCCGGGTCCCTCTCCTCACCGTCTTCTCCCTTCTCTTCATCGTTCTCCGCTGCTCCATCTTTGCCCGACGGGGTTTGCAGTTCGGGGGCCGTCGGCCTCCGGGCTCCCCACCACGAGTGGGGCTTTCTTCGCTCGGCTGAGTTGTTGTTAGTCACCTCGCTGGCGGCCAGGGGTGCAGGCGGCGGTTTGAGCCCGCGGTACTGAAGTGAAGCCCGATCTTTCCTCCCGCCGCCGGCCTGGTCCCGGGGACTGGCCTCCACGTCCGACTCGTCCGAGCTGAAGCCCAGCAGCACTTTGCTGCCAGCCGTGGGGGCAGCTGAGGTGCTCCCAGGCCCTCCCAAAGGGCTCTCCGGGCCGGAGGGCGATAGTCGGCTCAGGCCCCCAGGGGTCAGTAAGTAAGAGAGGTCGCCGGAGACTGGCCGGACACCCATCCCTACAGCCGCCTCCGCGAGTCCCGCGGCTGCGACTGTGGCGGCTGCGGTGTTATTGTTATTACTGTTCCGCGTCTTGTTGCCGCGGCCCCCCGACCGGTGTTGCTGCTGCTCTTCCTCTCGAAGCTTCTTCAGCTTCTTGAGGTAGACTGGGCGAGTGCTCTCCGTCACCGGGCCAGGAGATAGGCCGTAACGGCGGAGCTGGGAGAAAAGCTCCTCATCCGATAGCTGCTGAGGCGCCGAAGCCGCCGAAGCCGCCATTTTCTCTCCAGGGTGTTTTACAAGCTCCGCGCTATCGGAAGTGACGCGCCGCCCTAGACCCTGAACTAGACCGGGCTGCGTCGCCCTCACGGCGCAGCAAGCGCCTTGGCCAATGGGAGGCGCAGGAGGAGCTCACCTGAGCGGGAAAGGGCCACCTGAGCGGCGCGCGGCTCTGGCTGCGGAGTTTTTCCACGCTCCCACCCTGGGGTCCCAACGGATTCTGCTGCTCTTTTCTGTCTCTGTATCTCGCTGTTCTCTGCCCTGCCCTTCTAACTGCCATTACTTGAAGCTGTCTCTTGCTAAACCAAGCCTTGATTGCTTCTCAGGTTCCTGCCCCAGAGGCAGTAGTAATTGGAAGGAAATTTGCCTTGAAATTCATGGCATTAGTGTTTTTCCCATTCAGATGCCCGCTACCACGGGAAACCGGGGGGGG